GATTCCAGGGACCTAGGATGACACTCAGTATAAGGAAGACCTGTTCAGCCACGCATACCATCCAGCAGTGCAACAGAGTGCTTTCCAAGCCAGTGATTTCCCCATCACTTCAAGTGTGCTAGCAGAAGCTGGTTAGTCACTTTTTGGGAAATGTTCTAGAAGAGATTCATGTGTTATTGTGTGGATAACTCTAAGCTTAGCTGGGTCTGACTCTACAACCCCATGGACTGTAGCCCAGCAGGCTCCTCTGTGCATGGGATTTTCCAGGTAAGAATACTGGAGTGGGTAGCCATTTATTCCCTTCTTCAGGAGATCTTCCTGACCCAGGGGTTGAACCTGGGTCTCTTGCATTGCAGGCAGATTCTTTACTGTCTCAACCACTGGGGAAGCCCAAAGGAAGTGAAAGTTGCTCAGTTGTGTCCGACTCTTTGCGACCCCATGGACTACGCATTCCATGGAAGTCTCCGGGCCAGAAAACTGGAGTGGGGAGCCTTTCCCTTCTCCAGGGGATCTTCCCAATTCTGGGGTCGAACTCAGGTCTCCTGCATTGCAGGCTGATTCTTTACCAGCTGAGCCCCAAGAGAAGCCCAAGAACACTGGAGTGGGTAGCCTATCCCTTCTCCAGCGGATCTTCCTGCCCCAGGAATGGAACCAGGGTCTCCTGCATTGTAGGCAGATTCTTTATCAACTGAGCTATCAGGGAAGCCCCAAAGCCCAAAGTCCCTTCCAATTTTGAGCTTCTCTGATTCTAGACCAGCGTAGGTGCAAACGGGAAGGATTAGGTTGGAAATACAGAGACCTTGAAGCTGTACCTAATGGGGTGGAGGGAACTGGAAGAAGACAGTGGGAAGACATGTAGATCACTTACTTAAGAAAAGAAAATCATATAGTCATATAGTCTAGAGGGAGAATTCACTGTCTTTTTTAACTGCAAGGGCCAGGACCATCCTCAAATTGCTTAGAGTTGTGCACGAGCAAGTATCCAAGGCCACTTTAAAAGAGGCCTCAACAAAACAGAAAAAGAGACTCCGATGTATAGAACAGACTTGTGGACTCTGTGGGAGAAGGCGAGGGTGGGATGTTTCAAGAGAACAGCATCGAAACATGTATGTTATCTAGGGTGAAACAGATCACCAGCCCAGGTTGGGTGCATGAGACAAGTGCTCGGGCCTGGTGCACTGGGAAGACCCAGAGGGATCGGGTGGAGAGGGAGGTGGGAGGGGGGACCGGGATGGGGAATACATGTAAATCCATGGCTAATTCATTTCAATGTATGACAAAAACCACTGCAATGATGTAAAGTAATTAGCCTCCAACTAATAAAAATAAATGGAAAAAAAAAAGAGGCCTCAAATCAGTATCTTTTATAGGGTTTCTGGGATGTGATGAAGGACAGACGTTTCAAAATACAATTTTAATGGTGGTCAGAAAAGATGACACAGTTCATCGTCGCAGTCCCATTGAGGACCACTGGGAGGGGCATGGCATGTCACTGGAAGCAGGCCTAAGGCACAGGCCAGGAGAAGAAGTTAAAAAGCAAGAGTAAGAGAGGAGTGAATAATGGCAGAGGGAGGAAGGATAGGACACAGTGGACAGGTACATTTACTACAGAAAGCAGCTGCCTGGGCTTGCAGAGGTCTCGGGGCTCCTCTTTGAGCTGGTTCTCAGGGGGCAGGTGAGGTGGGTACCAGACTCAATAGAGATTGAGGCTCTACCGCTGGCGTGCCCCAAGTTCTTGAGTGACCTTGTAGATGTCATTTCATCTTGCTGCCTCTTCCTTGTTGTCAAGGGCAGGCATACTGCTAACCTAAAAGTACTCTGAGCTTTACCAGAGAAAAGAGGTCCAGAAATTTAAGACATTGTCTGCCTGGGTAGGAAGTGTCTACACTTGTTTCCGTTTTTTCACGGTTGAGAGAGGGAGAGCAGGTAAGTGGAGGGTGGAGAGAAAGGTGAGAAGACATTGTGGCCAAAGTCGGCCTAGCTCCCCCCGCATCGTCCCAGGGAGCCCGGGGCCGGGATGTGGCCGGAGCGGGCTGGGGGCGGGGGCATGTTGCAGCCCGCAGGCAGCGGGACACCCAAGGACCTGAGCAGACATCCTCGGGCTCTGCGGGCGCTTCAGCAAGTCCCATTGCAGCATCAGGGACCAAAAGCGAGGCGCGCCCCTCCCCCACTAGATGGCACTGAAACGCCTCGTTCGAGATATTCAGAATGCAGGAACCTAGGAAAAAAAGACAAAAAGAATATGGTGGAGGTGCGCTCATTTTGCCTCGCCGGCCCAGTTGTGCAAAGCAGGGTGCCAGACCCTCTGTTTCCCCAGGGCAGCCCTTCACTCGGCACTGCGGGCCTTCGGCTTTGGAATGAGAGTGAAAATGAGGGGTGAGCCTTAGAGCGGAGAACCTAAGGTTTCGACCTGGGAGGGAGGCACCCAGCCCTGCGGCGGCGTCTCACGTGAGCTGGGCGGTGTGTGTTGGGAGGATGAAGCTGGCTCGTTTGGGGCCCCCTCGCTTAAGGTCTGGGGTCTCTCCGCGCCACCTCCCAGAGTCCTCGGAGAGCCTAAATCCAGCCGCCACCCGGATAAAGACAAACCCCAAACCGAGGTGTCCTTTAACCCCACTTCCCCACCTCAAAGCGTGAGCCCCCCAGGCCTTTCCAAAATCCATTAAGCACCCTCCGGCCCCCGCCCCCAGAAAATTCTGTCCCTCTTGTCTAGAAAGCATCAGTTAATTTTCTCTTCCCGCTGAGGAGGGAGGTGGAGGTGGGTGTGTGTCGGAGTGTCTAGCGCTGTCGTGGGGCTGGACCGGGGCTGGTGCCGACAACCCCGCGGACGCACTTGGCCCCGGGTGGAAACGCCTGTAGCGGGTTAGGGCAGCGCCTGCAGCTTTCTGGGGGAAAACAACGATCAAATACAACCCAGGACATAGGCGACCGAATCCGGGGACACAGGGGAACTTCCTCAGTACCTCTGAAGGCCCACTCCACAATAAGCAGTCTTTTCTTGCAAGAACTCTGGTCTATTTAAGGGAATTTTGTACTACTGAAAAGAGATAAACGGAGAAGCAGGCAACATCCTTACATTTATACTAACGCCCGTAAACATGCTACATATCACATATATGTATATGTGCATAAATATGGATGTGGTTGTGCACATACCTAGCCAGACACCATTGACTTGCCTGGTCACAGAATAAGGCTTAGACATCCTGTGCCTGGGAAATGGTGCACTTTATCTTTAAGGATTCTAGAAAAATAAGAGATGAGGCTCACGTTGCACGGATGACATCACTAGCTTTTGGCTGCGCGCTCCGTGTTCTCGTCTGTGGGTTTCAGCCAAGGCTGCAGCGCCCGGCGCCCGAGCAAGCGAGCAAAGCCGCCGCTTCCTCCAGCGCCCCGCAGCCGGGCGATGCGATTTCCCGAGCCTCCCCGGCGCAGCCTGGGCTCTCGCTCACTAGCACCGGCCGAGACCGCGAGGTCCCGGAGCCGCCGCGGCTAGAGGAGGAGGCAGGGACGGGGAGCTGAGAGTCCCAGCCTCCCTCCCCCACCCTCGCCCCATTCACCTCGGCGACCACCGCGCCTGGAGCCGGATCGTGGAACGCCGAGGCCGGACGCGACTCTGCGCGCTGCCGAGTGAGCCGGCATCTCAACCCCTGGGTGGGCTGCGAAGAAAATGGTGCAGTCTGAGAGCCGCTGACCCCAGCTGGACCGAGCAGACGGAGTGCTGGAGTGCCGGGGCTCAGGTGGCGGGAGAAGGGGGCGGATTGCGTCGAAGGGCCGGAGCCGTGGTTTTTCTGGGTACCTGCAGCACCCGGGCAGCACGTTCCCGGGGCTACACGGGAGCCCGATGAAGTGAGGCGGAGGCGTCGCGGGAGAGGCGGGTTTGAAGGTGGCCGGGTGGACACTTCGGGAAGAAGACGGCAGTGGTGGGGGCGGCATGACGCCCTGGAGGCTGGCTGCTGGGCGGGCCGGGCGCCGCGATCGCGCGACCTGTCCATGGTGTTGAAGGCGCCGTGTGTCGAGCTCCGCGCACCCCGCGCTGTGCGCCCCGCCGGGTGCACCCTCCTCGGCGCAGCCAGCCTCTCGTGCCCGCGGGCTGCAGCCCAGTCTCCGCAAAGCCCCGACCAAGGCTCGTCCGGTAACGCCGTCTGGGTGACCGCACCGTCGGCCCGAGGGGCCGCCTGAATGGCGAAGCAAGAGGCAGACGACCCGGGAGCTCGCGGGGAAAGGTCGGCCGAGACCGTGCACCGACTGGGAACCCGCCTCTGAGCGCTGCGCACTGGCCAGAAGGAGCAAAGGACCTGCTGGTGACCAGAGGACAGATAATTAAATTTTTTTTTTTTTTGGTAAAAGACCTGATCCAGAGAAGAATATTTCTTCTCCTGCAGACCAGGAAGGGTAGAGTCGCTGAGAGGGCGACCCAGGCGGGACTCAGGGCAGCCTACCCTGGCATCTGGAGGTTTCCTGCGCTGGCCGGCCGCATCCGGGGTGATTCAATTTATCCCGTCGCTTAGGATCTCCTCCTGATAGACCCCCTCCCCCAAGAAAGCCAAGCGAGTGGGTCCCGCCACCCTGCACAAAGAAAGCTCAGGAGTCCCCCCGCAGCGGAGGGCACTTGGTGTTTAGTTTCCGGCCCGAGGACAGCGTCGCCCGAAACCCGGCTGAGTGCTGCGGACGCGGCAGGGTCCGAGCAGCCGCTTCTTGCCGGGCAGGGAGGGGGCGGGAGGCGGCCTGGACGGGCGTGCCGCCGCCCGAGGCTGCGCCTGCTCGGGAGGACGCCCAGGGGATCGCCGGAGCCTCTCCCGATCAGAACTTTTTACGCTTCCCGCCCCCATCCCCTGCAGTCCCTGGGCTGCGCACCAGCAGGCAGGGGCCGAGGGGCGCCGCTGCGGAGTCCCCTTGCCGTCCCCTCCTCGGCTCGGCCGTCCGCAGCTTTGTTCCGGGCGCGCGGAGGGAAGGCGAGGCTGCGGCGGATCATGCCCAAGGTGTAGCCGCGAAGCGGAGGCATGGCTGCCGGAAGGTTACTGCTCTACACTGGCCTCTCGCTAGCGCTCTGCGCCCTCGGCATGCTGGCCGTGGCCATCTGCTCAGACCACTGGTACGAGACGGACGCCAGGAAGCACAGGGACAGATGCAAGGCCTTCAACACTCGCCGGATCGACCCCGGCTTCATTTACAACAACAACAACAACTTGCCACTCCGGGCCAGCCGCTCGCGCCTGGACCGCTGGGAGGGCAAGCTCCTCCGGGCCCGGAATCGCCGGCAGCTCTTCGCCATGAGCCCCGCCGACGAGTGCAGCCGGCAGTACAACTCCACCAACATGGGCCTCTGGAGGAAGTGCCACCGACAAGGCTTCGACCCCGAGATCGCGGCCCTGATTCGGAAAGGTAAGCGCTTGGAGGCGAGGCGTGGCGCTGCAGAGAGCCGCGCGCCTCTAGGCCCGGCTGCCCTCGCCTGCCTTCGCCCGGCCGCAGCCTCTCAGATCTCTTGGTACCAGGAGGTCAGGTTATCCAGGCTCGGCTGAGCCCTGAAGTGCCCACATCTTGTCTCCCAACAGCTCGTAATGAGGCTTACCTCTGCCTACTCAGCCTCTGGTCTTGCGTTTGTCTGACGGGATTCCGATAGAATCTCATGGTCCAGGGGTTTTACCCAGGAAGATGCTTCAGTAGTCTCTGAAAAGGAAGGGAATCTGTAATCTTGTGCGGTTGACAGAGGAATGAAACCCTTTAAGAGTGTAATGTCGGGGTAGACAGACTCCTAGTTTTAATCTTTGTTTTACGTGTTGAACTGATTCATCAAAGGCAACTGGGGAAACATCTCACAGGGAAGGCCTTATTCATGCCAGAAATGTTGAAGTGCTATACCCTGCCCGGCATAATGCAGGCACTAGTCATAGAAACATTAATAAATCAGAGCCCCGGCCCTGTTTCAGCCCAAAGCCTGTTGACCTGTAGCAGCTCACCACAGTTCTTGATTTGTCTTTTTGAGTGGTTGACAAAAATGTCTCCTGCACACTGGATATTAGCAGGATCTAATAAGCACAGGAAAGTAGTTTTTTTCCCCCAGTAACACCAGAGTGGGTACTTAAGAGAAAAAATGCTAGTTTCAGAAGATTTGTAGAAAAAATATCCAGAGTATACGAAAGCAGAAAACAAACTGCATTTGCTAATGATAAAAATTTACTTGATTCTTTAATATGATCACAAACATTTTTAAAAGTCTGCTCATCTGATGCAGTTTGTAGATCTTGCATGATTTATACTTTGGGGAGCATCCTGTTCCATTAGCCTACTGAAATAATGTTTGTGTGTATATTAATATTGCTTTGAAGAAGGGAATATGCATGCTGGAATATGCATTGATGATAGCTGCACCCTGGAAGTTGTGGTGCAATTTCATGAGTTCCTCCCACCCCCTTCATTTTCTTCATCTGTTAAATGGTAATACCAAGGTGAAAACAACGTTGTTGTCTGAAAGGTCTTTGTGGCTACCATATGAGGTAGTTTTTCCTAATGCAATAATTACAGTGCAGGGTTGCTGCTATTTTAAAATCTTGTGTATGACAAATGATGTTCTTTGATTTGTTAAAATGTTGAAGTGGATCAGAAAAAAATTGTTAATTTGAAAAAAAAAGTCAGTTGTTTAAGAAAGACAAACAGTGGGTATAGTTTGGGTGGCCACTCAGATTTAGGTGGGTAGGTTCAGAAAGAGAACCCATCTTAGTATTTTTTCTGCATCTTCTGTAGAATTACTAGGGATTTTAGATGATTTTGTTAAGAATGTGTTACTATTACAAGCATCACATCTGCTTCATGGTTAGACTTAGTAAAATAGGGTGACCCGCTTGGAGCTCTACAACTTTGTCAAACTGTATAGGATATTAGAGATTTGCAGAAGAGAGAATCTTGGGTTTGGGAAAGAAGAGGAAGCAAAATAGATTTTGACAATGGTTGACTTTGTAACAGTTTTCAAATTCTCAGATTCAGGAAAATGTTACTTTATGTGTCATTTTCTGCTTTCATTAAAGTTGGAATGATAGGAAGTTAGCTGAAATGTGAGGGAGGATTCATGTTACTAACAACTGATAAACACTGGTAGGACTTGCTGAAGGACATTCTTGAATTTCCTTTCTTGAACATCTTGTGGAACAAGACTGGTATCCTTCTGCCTAATATTGGTTAACCCCACTGAGAAAAAGGGGACTGGAATCCATGACTTCTGGTAGTTCCAGTGAGAGCTTTGATTCCATGTTGCTCTGCTTGGCAATTGGACTAGAAAGGTTGACTTGGTCTGTGCACCAGAGGGATTGGTTACCATAGTGACATGTTCTTCCGGTGAAGCTGGAAACACAGCGACAGGGAAAGGGATAGGGGAAGAATGTACAACATTTTGACTTTGTATGGGCTGATTTTGAATTGAAGCAACAGAAAATGGACAGGGCACAGCAGGGGGATTGAATACACTGATACCTTGAGTTGGCAGGGCATTGTATTTCACTTGAACTAATGGAAACACTGTTTCCCATCACCCAAAATACAGCAATCACTGTCAGCTGCAAGCACCTGCTTACCATGGCCATTTCTGTCCATTTAACATTCTTGTTAGGTATTATTGAGATAGATAGCATGCCAGACTTACAAATCTTGAAAGACTTAAGGTCACTATCTTCATTTTTAATCTCAAAACATAATCTTTGAAAGCCAGATCTGCTGCTTCTCAGCAGTGATGGACACACTGTGGAAATAAGTGCATCTTATGTTAGGAGAATTCACAAGCAATTCTAGTAGCATGCAGAATGTTCTTCCTAGATGTGCAGATTTTAGAAGGAAGTTAAAAAATAAAAAAATAAATTGATATCTTTTGTTTAAGTTTAAGACATCTTAGAGAAAAATATTTACCTCACAGTGTTTCTTAGTAGTCTCAAAACCTATATTAGACCTTTGGTTTTTTGGGAAACATCTTAGATTAAAATTCTGGAGATATGTGTTGGGCAGGGGGGAAAGGGATATCAGAAAAAAAATATGTAAAATCTGTCAATATTATGTGAAAATTAGAGATTTATCCTAGAGTCCTAAAGAACTCAATCATTTATTAAGTCAATGTTCATTACATTAGAAAATGCTGTTTGTGCATTTTACAATAATACCACATTATTAATAAGGGAAAAAAATCAAATCTATATCTGATTTGAAGACAAAGTCCTTTGGATTCATATGGTTTCTGAAATCCATTTCTTGCCCTGCTGACATGACTGTGCCCATAAGAAGACGTTTCTGATCACTGTGTATTTATTTGTTTGTCTTATTGAACCATAAGTTCCTGGAGGGCAGGAAAGATAATCATTTGTAAAATACATCCACCTGATATTTGGTACTTGGGAAGTAACTCATACAAATTAGGTTCCCAGAAATGTATCCATCAAAAACTTATTCTAATTGCTGGGACACTGTGTGGGAATCCAAATAAAGGATTAGTCAGAAAATTGTGATAGAAAAAAAATTGTGATAGGATAGACCAGTGTGACTCTCAGGGCAGCTTAATATTGCAACAGAGTCTTCATAATTTAACAAGGGAGATTTCTTGAGCAAAAGCTTTGCTAAGGAGTAAGAGCAGCACAATACAGTTTTGGATAACACATGTCAATGAATAGACACATATCACCCACAATCGTTATTTTTCACGTTAGACAAAATTTTAATTTTTTCCTTCTTGAGGGTAGGGTTTGAGTAGAAGATGTAGCAAAGATCACTCATCCTTGAATTCCCATCTGTGTCTATAATCAGGTCCTCTTGTTTTCTTTCTTTTTAATCTCATCTGTGTCTTCCCGGTAAGTCACTGTGAGCACTGGGGACAGATAAATGGCAGGATCAGTTTCCGAAATCCTAGAGACTTCCAAACTGTTAGAAGGAGCAAACACAGGAAGGAGTTTGTTCCAGGGAAGATTCAGATTCTTTGGTTAGTACTGAAATGTTTTGTTGATATGGCTTGAAATCAGTAGATCTTCAACTGACATGCTAAGAACTTCTTTATTATTTGAAAATAGGCCTTATAGGAGAACTTGACCTAAATAATTATGGAGTGGTAGTCAGTGTTCTAAAGTTTGTGTTAATAAAACCTTGTACACATTCACAGATTAATAATGGACTCAGCAAGTGTTTGCTGCACAGGTGTTAGCGAGTGGGCCCATATCACTGGAACAAAGACTGGGCCTTAGAATTCCCATCGTTCTGTTAGTATCACATAGAGTAAGTGCTGAGTCTGGGATAACCAGAGCGACAGAAACAGATGCAGAGAAACACAGAGGAGGTGATGCTCCATTGTGTCCCCAGTGGGATGAGGTCAGGTGGGAGGGAGTTAGGGAGAGTTGCCCTGAGGAAATGAAATTTGAACAAGATCTTCAGGACGTTTGGGGGTGGATGGGGAGGAAGGGCATTTCAGGCAAAGAGGCCAGCACAGGCACAGCCTTGGAGGTGTGAACCTGCTGTGGGCCTTGTGAGTGTTGATTTCTGGAGCGAGGGAGAGGTGCAGACCAGGAGCTGGAGAGCAGGCGGGGACGGCGTTACAGAGCTTGTGGGCTGAGATCCCCGGTAGCGGTGCTGCCCACAGGGTGGCCACCAGCCACAGGTGTCTGCTTAAACTTAGAATAGTCATACTGAGATAAATTTAAAAATCACTCCCTTGGTCACATTACAGGTGCTCAACAGCCATATGTGGCTAGTGGCCATAATTTCAGATAGTAATAGTATTTCAGTTCCGTTCAATTCAGTTGCTCAGTTGTGTCCGACTCTTTGCGACCCCACGGACTGCAGCACACCAGGCCTCCCTTGTCCATCACCAGCTCCCGGAGTTTACTCAAACTCATGTCTATTGAGTCAGTGATGCCAGCCAACCATCTCATCCTCTGTTGTCCCCTTCTCCTCCGGCCTTCAATCTTTCCCAGCATCAGGGTCTTTTCAATGAGTCAGCTCTTTGCATCAGGTGGCCAAAGTATTGGAGATTCAGCTTCAACATCAGTCCTTCCAATGAATATTCAGGACTGATTTCCTTTAGGATGGACTGGTTGGATCTCCTTGCAGTCCAAGGGACTCTCAAGAGTCTTCTGCAACACCATAGTTCAAAAGCATCAATTCTTCACTGCTCAGCCGAAGTAAGAGTATTACTATTTATTATTAGTATTACTGTTAGTATTACTATTTATTAATAGTATTACTATTTGATAAATAGTGATCAAACTTGATGGTCAGGTACTCTTCTAAGAGTTTTATGTTTATTAGGTAACTTATTCTTCATGATACTGTGCTGAGGTGGGTATTTTTATTATTTATCTCTATTCTACAGTTGAGGAAACTGACATAAAAAGCTCTCTTAACTCGTCGCATTCTCATGA